TATATGTAATTACAAATTTACAAAATAATTATGTCAAGTATATTATGAAATATTAATATAAAATACATGTGATCAATTGAATTATACGTAACACACACAAAAAAACTCCACTAATTTACGTGTGATACAGGGATTGAATAGAGTTACCATGATAATTATTTTTAATAATTTATGTTTTGCCACCACCTTTTCAAGAGTGAGTATTTGAAAATGCTGGTTCCAAATTTGGACAAATTGGAAGATGGTCTAGCTTCATAGGTAGATTAAAGTGGATGTAGATAGATGAATTTTAGGGTGATCCACTTCCATAAGTGATCTACTGTGAGTCATAATTATAAGTCTTTGAATTAAAGTGGGTGCAAATTATCATCACAGGCCTATATATAATAAAATTATTTCCTATTCACTTTTTTCTGACCTTTGAACATCCGACCAATGACTATCAGAGCATTGTCCACCCAACACCAAAAACAAATACGATAATTATCAGAGTAACAGTATATCCCTTGTATTGATTGTTATCATAACCACCACGATTATATCTACAACTACTACAATATATATCAAATATGATTGATAAAAATAATGATGATAAATATTTGCATTGGGCTTTGTCGCATTAAAGTTTATCGCACCAAATCTTGTGCCATTGCCATGCTAAATTGCATGTTGTCATTGTCTTTATGTTGAGTCTTAACCTCCGTGCTAGTTGCATGTATTTTTGTTGGATAACAAATTACTAAAATTATCTTTGATTCGTTGCGGATAGCATGTTATTCTTTGATTTGTCTAAATGCTTTTCAAATTAAGCATAATTTATGTTATTGAATATTGACTTTGATATTTTCTTTCTCATTCTATTGTTAGTTGTAGGTAATGTTGGTGTGATGGAGGGGTGGAGCCTTCCAATGACATATTTTTACATTTAACTATTGGAATTTAGTAATGGAGTACATCCCCAATTGGGACAAGTGACAATATGAATGATATTAATGATATTTAAGGAATGAAAAGAAGAGAGAAAAGTATAAAATGTAAAAATAAAAATCTAGTGTAAAGAGTATATTGTATAATCATATAAATGAGATATAAATGAGATATATGTGATGGTTAAAAATAATTGATCATTATATAGATCACCTAATAAGTGGTTTGTGAGACCCCTCCCGCTACTTCTTTTCTCCCTCTCAACATTTCTTTCACTTTTCACTTTCTTCTTCCCTACTCTCTACTTACCTTGCTGGTTCTTTCTCAATCTTGGTGTTCTATGTGTTGAGAGCTAATTGAAGACGCAGACTTCCTTTTCTCCTCTCATTTTCTCAAGCTTCTTCTTCTCCTCCGCCTTCCCGGAACTCGGATTTCTTCTTCTCCGAAGTAAGGGAAGCTAGATTCGTGTTTGGTTGTGTGGAAATGAGTTAGAAACTCATGAGTTGTTTGATGAAAATGTGGTTCTTTGGGAGGTTTGCATGTGCTTGGATTGGTTGTTTATGCAGGGTTGGGATGAAATTTTAGAAGTTTGGGGGTTGTTGTGTGATAGTGCGTCGGGCGTAGTTATTGGCGCTGGGCACGTGTTCATCAAGGGGCTCCATTTGTCGAGCACGCCGGGCGCAAGGTTGGTTGCGCCAGGCAAGCTTGGGAATGAAGGTCTCTGGATGGCTCATGCCCGGCGTGGAAGAACCGCACTGGGCGTGATATCAGACAGGGACTCACATATTTGGGGTTTTGGTATGGCACTAGGCGTGACTATGTCTTGCCGGGCGTGGAGACTCCCTGGGAGTCTCTACTAGGGGTGGCGCGGGGCGCAATTGGTATTGCACCGGGCGTGAGACCTTGGGGAGGTCTCTGCCTTCCCTGCGCCGAGCGCGGGTTTGGTACGCCGGGCGCGTGAGACTCCTGAGAGTCTCTGTCTTCGATTGCGCTGGGCGCAATTTGAGCTTTAGAGCTCTCTGGTTGGTCCACGCCGGGCGCGAGTACTCTTGCGCCGAGCGCGGATGTGTTCTTTCTTTATATGCTGGTATATGCTGATACATGCTTATATATGCTGATATATGTTGATATATGCTGATTTAAGCTGTTAATGATGAATGTTGTTGAGCTGAGTGATGATTTTACTGTGCTGTGAGATGTTCATGCTGAATTATGATGTTTAAGCTGTATTATTGTAAAAGTTGAGCTGTGCCGTATGCTATATGTTGTTATTGCTGCTATGCTGTGTTGTGTTAAATGTTGATATAAACTGTTGTAGGCCATAAGGCTGAGTTGTTGTAGGCCGTAAGACTGAGCTGTTGTAGGTCATAAGGCTGAGCTGTTGTAGGAGATCTTCGAGCTGATATGCGTGACGACGCATTGTTTGTTTCATGTTGTTTTTGCTGAATGATGTGAGTTGTATATGAGATGTGTTGTATGCTGATCTTGCTGAACTTATTGATGTGCTGATAAGCTGTAGTTGTTTATAATTTCAGTACTATGCTGATTCTTTTCACTAGCTTACCCTTGTTATTTCCATGTGGTTTTGACTACAATAATCATACTATGTATGAGAGTAGAGTAGGGATAGGTTGGTGTGTTGAGGTAGGTCTGCAGTTGACAGATAAAGTTGATACTTTTGATATTTTGATGTTTTGGCTACTTAGTGTAGTAATTTGGCTGTATTTTATATATTGATTTTAAGTCCCAAGCTAGACATATGTGTATATATTCTATTTTATATATGTATACTCTATTCTGCGTGGTGTTGTTGCTATGTGACGGCTAGGCGGGTCGTTACATGGCCATCCTAGTTTCCATCCCAAATTTGAGCCCTTTTTGAAAAAGGTTTTTAAAGAAAATATTATCTAAAATTACATCTAAACACATTTTCTTGTATGCTTTCCCTTTTCTTAGAAAATGAAAATAGGAAAGTTATGCTAAATAGGTCCTAAAGTGAGAAATTGATTAATGAAAGATCGATTTCTTAACATAAATAATAAATGCAATATTTTGATAAGTATATTTTAAAATATAATATTTTGATAATTTATTTATGTAACACCTAATTTTATAGTTTTTAATTTTAATACTAAACATATATTTCTTATAAATTATTAATGCAATTATAATATTAATAATATTTTATATAAAGACAATGAAGATTTTGTTAATTAACGTATACATAGTTAGATTATAATTACATTATATATCATTCTAAAATATTTACAATAACATACTTATTTACATACTATATATTCTCTATTTCTACTATAATATTTACATATTAGGTTGATATAGATTTATTATTGGATTAAAAATAATTAAGCTAAATAAATTTTAATATTTTTTATTATTTAAAATAATTTATATAGGAGTGAAATGTATTAAAAAGTCTTAACCTAGTAAATAATAGATAAAAACATCATAAGATAATTAAACAACATGAACTAGAAATATCCCATTAATTATTTAGAATAAAAAATATAATAGATTAAACAAGTAATTAAGGTTAGGAGCACTTTATTAAATAAATACACATAAATATAATATAAAAGGAACAAATATTAATATAATAGTATAAAAAATTTAAAAGGATAAGAGTCTCATTTCGCTTACCTTAAAATTATAGAATTATCGAAAGTTAACGGTAAATATTTTACTTTCCTTCTTTACTCTTTGTCTCTCTTCTTTCTTTCTTTCTTTCTTTGTTATGTTTACTCTACCTCCTCTTGCTTATTTTTTTTCCTATCATGATGGTCCCCTTTCTTTATTTATAGGCTATTTTTTTTTAAATGTAACCATCTAGTTTGATGTATTTAAAGCATCATTAGTTAGAGATAATGTTGATCTCTACGTACACCTATAGTACTATAGTATTTATCTTGCTGCAGGTTTTTAATTTTTTTTAATTTTTAATTTTTTTTAATTTAAAAAATCTCTCTTTTTATATACATATGAGAAATAATTATACTTCATTAATACAATTAAAGTATTATTCTAAAAAGATTTAGATTTTAAAAAAAAGATTGAATTTTTTATATATATCTCCAAAAAAGAATTTATAGCATTAAAAATAAAACATTATATATCTATTTAATTTTTCCCTAATACAGTATCTAAGAATTTAGATTATTATAAAAAATAAAATAATAATAATAATAATAAATTAAGTATATTATAATATTATATCAGAGATTCAGAATATTATAATTTATTTTTTAGAATATTATAATAAAATGGTCTTAAATTTTCAATTGATGAAAATATTATTTGATGTATAAATTTGTGCAACATTTTTCTATTTCATATTGTCCAGAAAAATGAATAAGTGCATTACACAATTGAACCTATTTATATTATATATATATATATATAATTATTTAAAGAATAATCATTAATAAAATTATTTTACTTGATAATTTATCATATATATATTTATTGAATTTTAATTACTCAATTATCAAATTAAATTTTTTATTAAATAAATTAAATCTACACATTTTTATAAAATTTAAAAATGATTTAACATTTTATTACATAAATTCAGATTAACACATATATTCTACCTTAATTTCTCATTTTTTGAGTGATTTCATTTGAAAAAAAATTCTTTAATTTTAATTTGTATAAAATTTATAAAAATAAAAATATAGTTATTTAACATTTTCACCTGTACAAACTTTAAAAAAATAAAATAAATATTTTTTTAATTAAAATTAAAAATATGTTTTTTTTTCTCCAACCAAAACATTCTTCCTCAATTTAGGAGAAAAACAAAAAATAAAATTTAGTTGTCTTTCTGTGAGCTGCAGATTGGTCGAAAACCAAACCAAACCTAAGCATATTCTCTCTCCTCAATTCCCCTCTTTTCTCTCTCTTCGCCATTCACTTTCCACGAACTTGTCTCTCTCTCTAAGATCCATTCCGTGTTGTCATACTTTCTTTCACCCATTTTAATTGACCCCTTCAAGGTACATTTTATACCCACAATTTTGTCCTTTTATTTAATTTTTTATTTGCTATTATTTTATTATTATCATTATTATTATTTTTTTTTGTAACAATTTTACGTGAAGTTTGAATTTTGGGGTCTTCAAGATTGAAAAAACAGAAAGAAATCAAAAGGGTATGTGAGATTCAATTGGGTGGGTTTTGGTTTTGGACACAGCTGATTTTGCTGGTTTCTGAAGTATGCTTTTGCTGGGGCTTCTTAATCAATCACTGATCACTAATCAGTCCTTAAGAAAAGCATAAGCTTATGTTTCCTCTAATTTGGATTCTGATGAACGGTATGGATTGTGTTTTTTCTTGTTCTTACGGGCTTCATGGGTGATGTGTTTCCTCTAATTTGTTCTGTGATGAATGAAAATGAATTTTTTCAAAGAAAAGATTGGGAATTGGGACACGTTCCTATTTATAGATTGAAAGACATCACTTGCATGATGGTTATTATCGATTGTAGAACATGTAATCAATTCTTACTATAAAAAAACTGCATAGTCCTGGCAGCACCAACCATTTCTTAAATCATACTTTGTTTTTAGCAGAATTTCTAAACACCTTTCTATCTCTGAAAGGAAAGGGGGATAGGTTTTCTATTAAATTATCACTTTATTTTTCAAGCAGTTTTGTTTTTAATGGATGCTTCTAATTGCCTGACATATATACACTATTGGAGGCTTTCAGTTGCAATAAAATTTATAATATCTACTGATATTGTTATTTATAAGTTTATCTAGTATTTAATTTATTCTTATTTGTGTCGTTATGCATAAATGTGGGCTAATATATATTTATTTATTTTTGCAGTTTAAGAGATCATTTACTTATCCTCTAAAACTGTATTTTTCTGGTGATTTTCCTCTGCATGGGGTTCTGAAATATGATACTTAGAATTCGCTTTTGAAGCCAAGCAAAAGATGGACAAGAAAGAGCATATTGCAATTTTTACTACTGCTAGCCTTCCATGGTTAACAGGAACAGCTGTGAACCCTCTGTTTCGAGCTGCGTATCTCTCCAAAAGTGGGGAAAGAGATGTCACCTTGGTGATCCCTTGGTTATCTTTGAAAGATCAAGGATTAGTATATCCCAACAATATTACATTTGCTTCACCCTCAGAGCAGGAGAAGTATATCCGTCAATGGCTTGAGGAGAGAATTGGATTTACATCTGGTTTCAGCATACAGTTTTATCCAGGAAAGGTGATATATATTTTTTTTCTCATGTTTTGATGTTTTACAAATAACAGGAAAAATTGGAAGCTTTCCCACATAAACACAGAAATATGCTTATGTCCAGATGAAGACCATTATAGTATATAGGATAGGACTGTGTGTTGTAGCTGTAAAACTGTTAAATGTTCTGTTAGCTGTAGCTACTATGTGATCTGTTGTTAATTTCCTGTTGTTAACTGTAGTTGTAACTGTCTGTTACAACACACTTTCAGTTGTAGTAGCTGTAACTCCTTCAGTTGTAGTTGCTCTATGCAATACAGAATGTTTTTATGTATATCTCATGACTGGATAGTGAAATCTCAGATTCTCTCTTAGATTTTCTCCCTGTTTCTTACACTTACCTCATTTTCTCAGCTCAATGTTTTGTAATAAGACCATGGTCTGTGTTTGGCCATAAAGAAAACAAAAATATTCTCAGTCAAATGGTTTTATAATGAGGTTTTCAATGAGAACTTGTAACTTTCCATCATAAATGTTATAATAGTTATATGTTTTTATGTAAGCTAATTGGTCATAAATTTGATCATCTATCAGCTTCTACTTTTAACTTTTAAGAGTTAACTGATTTTCTGTGTTATGCAAACCTTATTGTTGTGTAAGCAGTGCTAACTTATTATTATATTTATGTGCTTTTAATGTAGTTTTCTAAAGATAAAAGGAGCATTCTTGCTGTTGGAGATATTTCAGAAATCATCCCTGATGAAGATGCAGATATTGCTGTTCTGGAGGAGCCTGAACACTTAACATGGTATCACCACGGGAAAAGATGGAAGACTAAATTCAGGCTAGTTATTGGAATAATTCACACTAATTATTTGGAATATGTGAAGAGAGAGAAGAATGGAGGTCTGCAAGCATTTTTTCTGAAATATTTAAACAACTGGGTTGTTGGTATATACTGCCACAAGGCAAGTTGTTACATCCTTATGCAAAATAGTACATATGTAATCATTGTTGACCTTGACATTCTGGATTTTACTTTTTCAATAAATGAACCAAGAAATTTGAAATTGTCATATTTTTCAATTTTCACCGGCAAAGATGAATTGAATGGTCCTCTTGTGGACAAATAGATTCGCAGTTGGTTCTATTAAATGAATGTTTTGTGGCGGCTACTCAATTTAAGCTTATATTATGTTGTCCCACCTGATATATTTGTGCGTTTTTTTTTGTGTGTATGTAAGGATTGAAAGAATGTAAATATCTGTAATTTCTCATCTTTGCATGTGCGCGAGGGACTGAACAATGTGCAATCTATGCATTTCGTTGGACTAACATGGTTATTTTTAAGGCCGTTTGTTTCATTCATAAATTGATTTGAGATATGCTTAGGTGATTGACTTCTATTTGGTGCAAATAATGTGGTATTTTTTAAGATGGTTTCTTTAATAGTTATGCAATGAGATTGGGCGGATTTTGTCGTTGTTTTTCTTTCTTTGTTGTTTTATATTTCTTTCTTCTTAAGGATCCCTCATCTATGTCTTAAAATTACATCTTTGACCCAAGAAGAAAAGTGAAGACAACATGTGGACTTGAGTTAAATATTCATGGTATCCTACTTTGTCTGACATACAATGTTTTATTAGTCCATTTTGATTTTTTAATCAGTGAGTGTTATTATTCTGAATGAATAGGGTTATGTCTGGAGAAATCGCTCCATAAGTACTTTTAGAAGAAAATGGAAAAGAAAGATAAAAATAAGTTTCTCCATAAGCTAAAGGTAGCTTATGCAAAACTTAAAAATAAGTCCTTGGAGAAGCTAATATGGGAGAGTTTCTACAAATTAACTTATGTATAAGCTAATTTTAGCTTATGAAAGAACTTATTTCATTTTTCTTTCCTATTTTTTTTTTCTTTTAAAAGTACTTATGGAGAAGTTTATCTAAACAAATCTTAGTTCTAGTTCTTTTTATTAGTTTATATGTGTGTGTGAGTTCTGTTTAGGTAAAGACTAAAGACAATGCCTTGATGATGTTTCTTAGTGTATTCATTTGTGTGGATGAAAATCTAAGATAACATGGAGCTCTCCTTTAGGTTGCAGCTTTATGTGCTCAACTTAGCCAAGGGAATATCATTATCATCCAAGTGAGAAATGAGAACGAGACTTCAATTTTTATTGTGAAAATAATATTAATGGTTATCATAAGCTTGCAAGCATTGCATGCTTGCTTTCTTGGAATTGATCAGCTGTATATTTGCAGGTAATTAGATTATCTGCTGCCACCCAGGACTATGATGGTTCCATCGTATGTAACGTTCATGGAGTTAATCCGAAATTCCTTGAGATTGGCGAGAAAAAGAGGGAGCAACAACAGAAGGGAGACCAGGCCTTTACCAAAGGCGCCTACTTTATTGGGAAGATGATATGGAGCAAAGGCTACAAAGAACTGCTTCAACTTCTTAAAAATCATCAAAAGGAATTAGCTGCTCTCGAGGTTGATTTATTTGGCAGTGGAGAAGACTCGGATGCAGTTCAAAAAGCTGCAAAAAAGTTGGATCTGACAGTTAGAGTTCACCCAGCTCGTGATCACGCTGATGTTCTGTTTCATGAGTAAGTTTCCTACTGATTTTCTCACATCTTGTTTGTATTTCATTTCAGTTAGATATTTTAAAAGTTGTGCTTATTAATAAATAACTGCCATAGGATATCTGCATTGAAAAATTCAACTGGAAATAAATGGGTCAAATATTGGCACCATAGGATTTAAGGTAACAAATTATGTATTATTTTAGATGAAAAGATAAGAATATCTGATTCAGGATTTTTATACACTGATCTTTTTGAGGCTCCTCCATACCCTTCAATCCTTTTATACAGTATTTGATGATAATCCCCTTAGGTAAAGGGAAATATGTTGAGTTATAAAATGAAATATTGCATATTATGAATATTAAACTGCAAGTTTAAAAACCATTTCGGTATTTGTTAGAAACTGCCAATTTTACCTGTCTTCTTGTACTTGCTATTTGTTCACTTAGATGTCATTTTCTCAGCTGTTTACTTATCAAGATTCTAAGTATAGTTTGAGTATTCTTAATTATGCCGAGCACACATGGCTTTAGCATATTGACATTATACCACCATGCCAACACTCGTGAATAGGAGTGAAAATTCTTCCATTTTTCTCCATTTTTTCTTTAAATATTTTGTAGAACTTTTTTAATTACCCCATCTGATGGGAACATGTGTATGCTCACACTTCATTTCCTGCATTCCAGTTACAAATTGTTTCTTAATCCAAGCACAACAGATGTGGTTTGCACAACAACGGCAGAAGCTTTAGCAATGGGCAAAATTGTTGTGTGCGCCAACCATCCCTCAAACGACTTCTTCAAGCAGTTCCCTAATTGTTGGACGTTCGATGACAGTGAAGGATTTGCTAAACTCATACTTAAGGCACTGGCGGAAGAGCCGGCGCAGCCAACGGATGCTCAGAGACACGGCTTATCTTGGGAGGCCGCCACAGAACGGTTTCTTAAGGCCGCTGACCTGGACAAGCCATTAGAGAGAAAATTGTCAAGAAGTTCTTCAAACTTTATGGCTGCCTCATTAAATTTGCAACAGAAAGTAGATGATGCATCAGCATTTGTACATCATGTAGCTTCTGGGTTTGAAATATCAAGAAGAATCTTTGGTGCTGTTCCAGATAGCTTGCAGCCAGATGAAGAGCTACGCAAGGAGCTTGGGTTGACTAATGCTGCTAGGAGACAAGGTTGAAGATAAATGATATTGAGGTGCTGTGATATGGACACTTGTAGAGATTCTTCGTTTATTTTTGTTCCTAGAAGATAGTGTTTAGTGCAAGTAGTCTCTTTCTAGTCATGTTGGAAAATGTTTGGTGCTTGGAATAGTTATGTAAATAAGGGCATTCCTAAACTGTCACATTTGTAAGGTCGTCTATCATTGTTCTTGATTTTCTGTAGGAGATTTCAGCTATAGATTACAAACATTATTAATCAATAATTAAATGAAATAGTTATTTAAAATAATAAAATTAATGATTTTCATCTCGAGTCTCGCACATAAAGCATGTTTAACATTAGTCTATTTAATGCAAAGCTTCTATAGATGTTAATTAATGTCTATTTTATCTGTGGAATGGCTGCAATATTTCATATTTGATTGTTCTAATGAGTTCAATCCAATCCATGGTCACGTCTAATGGGTGGTTGGGTAAGACAGTGATCCATGTTAAATATTGTTGGGTAAAATAGTGATCCATGTTAAACATTCTATGTAAATACTTTTAGGCTTAAATGTTTTTAATTTATCAATTTTAAAATAAAATTATTTTTAGTCCGTTAAATTTAAAATTGATTTCTTTAATTTTTGTAATTTCAAAAAAATTTATTTTAATTTTTATATTCAAATTTAGATAAAAAATCTGTCAGATACTGATATATAAAATTTATTTATTAATATCTCTATTGATAAAAATGTCATATTAAACTAAGCTAATGGTACATAATTATGTTAATATGTCATTTTCAAATATATTTTAATGATTTTAAAATAAAATTTTTAAAGGTTACAAGAATTAAAAATAATAATTTTAAATTTAAGAGATTAAAAATAAATTTATTCTAAATTTGAAGAACTAAAAATATATTTAAATTATACTTTTTAATTGCATTTTTATACTTTCACTTTTTAAACGTTTATACCAATACCAATTAGAATGTCAGGAATTATGTTTCATAAATCACAATAGAGAATGAATAGAAAGCGGGAGAAAAGTAAAATATTATTGAAAGATTAAGTAAAGTAATTGCAATAATCTATTTACTATGTTTAACATGTTTAACTATCAATAAAAATAATAACTAATAAAATATAAATAAATATATTTTTCCTTCATATTAACAACATTTTTATTAATTAATATATAGTTTTATTAATTAAAGAAAGAGAGAGGGAATACCGATATAATTGAAAAAGAAAAATTAATGAGGTAATAATATACAACCTTATTAATAATTCAAAACGTGTAGTTCAGCAGTAGGTGTTGATTCATGCTTAAATAAGGTCAAGGGTTCAAATCCTGTCTTGTGTATGCAGAACAAAAAAAAATACAACTTTATTAATATTTTTTCTCATTTCTTATCATGTTGATAATCATCGAATATATTTTTTTTAAACATGGTAAAAATCCATGAAAATTAAATTCAAAATATATTAAAATATTTTCCTTTCAAGTAAGAATATATCAAAACATTTTTTAAAAAAATTCTTTCCTCTCAAAGGACACATACATTGATTATGACACTCCCATCATAGTTGATAGATACGAGACATCTGGGATTAATTAACTGTGGCAACTTTAAACATAAGCTAACATTTAAACCAGCAATTATTGTTTCTTTAATTTTATTGGTTGCCACCTCAGAAACCAGATACTATCAACAAGACTACAAAACACATCGTACCTAGTTTGAAATTCAGGCACAAAACAACATTGAGAATGCACCCTTTACGAATTGCAATGTTTCATACACTATACACGTTGTGGCCATTCCTTCAGTTCGGAATGTATGACACGTGTAGTAAACAAGCGTTACTTGTTACTCCATTTGTGTTTTTAACATTTTTGGACCATTTTGTAGGTTTAAATTTCTTATCTGTGATAGTCTTGTGCTGTGCATCATTTGATTGAGGCAGCAGCAACATAGAGGGCTTTGAAACCTAAGTTCAATTCCTCAATCAATTGGCCCATTGATCCCACTGAAGTAAGCTTTATTTATTGAATTATTTTTCATCATTAAATTTCTTCAACTCAATTACTTGGTCCACTTGAATTTTAATAATCTTGGAACAGGTTGTATGGTAGGGATTTAATTTTTTGTTTTTGTTTTTAATTCCTTTTCTGCAATCCCATTGATTTTCCTCTTCCATCTGCTGAATTTTATTTTGGTATAAAAAAGAGCCCTCAATTGTTTTGTTTTCTAGAGGAGTTCGATTCCCGCCCCTAAATTTATTCACCAAAAAATAAACAAATCTATTGATTTATTTTTTGAAAAATAAATTTTGAGTATTCAATTTTTATGCATCAGAACATTAAATCAGTTCACTTTATTTTCCTTTTACTCTTGTGAGATGGAAAATTCAATCCAAGTGAATTCAGTGCTCAAATCCATCCATCATATCTATTGATTCTTACCATGTTTGCTAACCCCCTTCTTAATTAGTTGGTGTTTGGCAGGTTTTGGTTCTTGGCTCAATCTGTATTGTAATTTAGGGTTGTTACTGTGTATTTTTTCCAATGTCAGTACTTATTGTTGTGGACTGAAATTGATGTGTGTTTGGTTGAATAGATTAGTTTTATAATGATGAAAAGTATTTAACCATATACTTGCCAACAATCTCTTTTCTACTTATGTTTGATGATGAATCTGTCTTGCTTGACTGTCTAAGTTGTCATTTTGTGTAGTGTTGTTGATATTTCTTGTGAGGTGGGGAATTGGTTATGGTGCTCAACTTTTGCCTCAATAATATAGTCGATATAATTTTCTTTCTCTTTTCTAGTTATATTTTTTGTTCTTGTTTTATTATTATTTTGTATAGTTTTAGAGTTTTGTTGGAAAAGTGGTTTAGACCCTAGACTATGATCTTTATTGTCCTGAATCTAATATGAATGGATTTTTTAGTTGATGATGGCTTAATAAACATAGTTAAAATAAACCTATTTTTCCCTTGAATATCTAAATTCTTAAATTCATTAAAAGCTACTTCTAGATCCAGTGAATCTAATTTATAAGATTAATTTTTTTTTATTACTTTTCACTGATTTTTTTCGTTGTACTTTTTGTAAATATTTTTTTTATCAGCTCATGTATTTTTTTTTTTGGGTCTCATTAACAACTTTCATGAGTTGATCTAATAGTGATTGCACTAAAATTAAATTCTTTGGAAAGCTGGAACTTTGGTATTCATTTTTCAAAAAGAATTAAAGTAAATATTCTGACTTTTCGAATCCTTTTTATTATAATCAATCCACATCACCTGCCATGCTTAAAAAATGGATGCATTATTTTTTATCTCACTCTCACCAGAAATAAATTACTAAGAAAGGTGGCGTGTTTTGGTAGAGAGAAATTGTAATAAAACCACGATTGAGGGGAGACTGAAAGTAATATGTAGTGAAATGGAACAAATGCTTATTTCATGGAATCCTAAGATTATGGAGTAAGTTCAACGACAGAACACCTTGACTTAGATGATGAAGCAACTGCATGCAGCAAAGAAATTGTTTCTAAAAATGTGAGTTTTTAATTCTTTGTTGCGATTTATTCTTTTTTATTTTTCTATATATCACTAATATAAGAATAAGCAGAATAGTTTATTTCCAACGTGACCTTCCTAGCATTTGTTTCATTTTTCTTTCAGACTGGAAGCTTTTAAGTCAAATGCTATGAAGCACGGATACTTCAATTTGCTTCACGTATCCGTATCCGATACGTATCCGACACGATACTCTTGGATACTTCACCGATACGTGTCAATGAAGTATCCTAGCCTTTAAAAATATTATAAAAATTTTATTCAATTTTGATACTTTCATATACTTCACCGATACTTATTAGTGATATATATCAATAAAGTGTTCAAATTTTTGAAAAATTATGAAATATCCATTACAGCTAAATAAGATATATAAACATGTTTAATATAGAAACATAAAACTATTGGTCCTTGATGAACACGTATCTTACAAGTATCGTATCCTATATATTTTTAAATAATCGTATCGCCGTATCGGATACGTGTCGTATCCGATACGCGTATCGTATCGGTGCATCATAGGTCAAATGTAAATAAGGAATTTATCTCTTATGTGTTTTTTGCAAAAAAAAAAAAAAACTAGAGCACTTGAAATCTGAATAATCTAAGCTTGAGAAAGAGGAGAACAAAAAGAAGTCCACATTCTTCAAGAAGAAGAAAAAGAATAGCACAATGACTAATTGTGAAGATTTGGATCTCTTTTCGTTTGAAGACTAAGTGGATGAAGAAGCTAACATCTATCTCATGCTAAATACAGATACTGAGGCCGAATCTAACAGATTAGAAAGAGCTAGAGGAAGATTGAGAGGTAAATCTCAAAGACTTCATAGCTTTTCAAGAAGTTTAATATGAACTTGTGGTTGACTCTTTTGCATATAAAAATTTGAGAAAAAAAACGTTTTTCTAATTAACCTATCTAGAAAAAATGATATATAAAAAAAGGTATGAAAAGCTTTTAAAGAATGCAATAGTTCTGATGAGAATGCCTTGCTTTAGTAGGATAAATGATATGATGGTATTTTCATACGTACTGTAGGGCATGCTACACAAGCAGGGGGTAATTGAATTGGTGATATTTTCATATTGTTCTCCATGTTCACAGACTGGATATTTAATTTGACATTATTATTCCAATTTAATTGCATTCCTTTTCGTTATTTGCTTCTTTAAATGTCACTCTTTTACTTTAGAAAACTTAAATCACAGTTGAATTTTAATTATAAATATCATTCCTGATAACTCATAACATATTATATCAAAATTAAATATAAAACCAAATCGTCGTTGAGATTCATTAGTAACTACAATTAGAAACTACATAAAAGTATTGAATGTAACTATTATTATCATCAGGTTGAAATTTTATCAATCATCATAATATTAAGTTATAAATTAAAAAGCATTAGCATCCATTATCAAGTGAATTCAACAATTTTTGCTTGGTTTACCTGATTTTGAACCGATTTAGCTATTTTTACACTAGGTTTTTGCAATATCAACTTTAAGGGTTAAGCTATCGAAATTCTACACTATTTAACCATACCAATGAAACCAGTCAATTCAGTCAGATGAACATGGGTAAAAATGAGAATGAACAATATTTAAGTGGAAGCTTCCTTGAAGTTTAAATCTTGTGTTTTCTAATTAAGAAGTATTAATCCTATGTAAATGTAAAACTTTAACACATGGAGGGAAGAGTTACATTATTCTAAAATAGGAATGTGTTATAG